TAGGGTGCTTTTGTTTTTCTGTTTTCAGGCCTGGTTCTGTCTCTTATACACATCTAGATGTGTATAAGAGACAGCCCCCACCCTGAAGTATATCACACCTCTCCCTACTGAGGAAGGGACCAGAAAGTTTCCCAAGCCCACCCCCGCACAAAGGGGACTGAAGATTACTAAAAACAGGATTAGAAAAACGAAAAATACTGAAGTAGTAAAATAGAAGAAAGAACGCAATCGAGCCCAAGGTGAATCTCACCCTGCACCCCATGCAACTCGAAACCGTCTCACCACCCACGAGCTGAACAACATACAAAATAAAAGGAGAACACATCAACCTTTAAAAAAGCAACACACTTGAAAAAGGGTAAAAAACGAGAAAAGGAAAGAACAAAATTTGCCACGTAGGCTAGCTGAGTGAAGCAGCGTACTCGTGCAAACAAAAAATCACATATTGACTGCATGCTCACGCCAACAAGTGGAAAATTGATAAACACACAGAAAAATCACAACATCAACAAAAAAGCAACCGATCAGATCACGTGTAGTGCTGAGTTCCAACTGAAACGCCTCTGAGACCACTCCCCCCCCCCAAAAAAAAAGCAATCCTACAGCCCCCACCGATCCATGCCGCCCCCCACACATTAGAGCCAGCGAGCAGGTAGAACCAACCACAATATAGGTAAAACCCCAAATCTCTCCCCACTCCCGCCAGACCGCAACCCACGGTCACAGCCATAGGCCGGGATGGCTGCGGCCGTGACCTTCCAGCGCCGTTACTCCTCGGTGGTAACGGCAAAGTCGCAACGCGCAGGCAAGTCCCCAGCACAGCCAAACGCCCCCCTCGTCGACCACGAGACACTCCGATTCCTGCTGGAATCACCGCAAATCAAAGGAGAAAAAATTATAAAAAAGATACAACAAAATGGCAAAGAGAAGGAAGTAACAGTATGGTGTTATCCAAAAGGAAAAATAGCCTCAACCAACACCTTGTACGCCAAACCCGCCCTGGTGTTCACATTTTCCAGCACAGGTGCCCCGCCTCCCACCAATCGAGAAACGAAAATGGCACACACACACACACACACACACACACACATTAAAAAA